CCTCTGCCTACTCGCCACTCGCTCTCAGCTCTGCCTTCGGATGAGTCCGTAGAGTCGAGTGGCCCGTATCCAGAGCTTGTTGGCTGCCTCATGTACCTGATGACCTGCACACGACCTGACCTTGCATACCCTCTTAGCATTCTCGCACGCTATGTTGCTCCTGGGAGACATCAACCAGAGCACATGGCTGCAGCGAAGAGGGTGTGGCTCTACTTGTGCAGTACGTCGGGCATGGGGCTAGTGCTTGGAGGGCGGAGTCCAGTAGTCCTCACTGGTCACGCGGACGGTTCTTGGGCTAACGACCAGGCTACGCAGCGGTCGTCACAGGGTTACACCTTCAGCCTTGGTTCCGGCTCTGTTTCGTGGCGGGCTACTCGCTCGTCTTCTGTTCTCGGCTCCAGTTGTGAGGCTGAGATCTACGCCGGGGCCATGGCTGCACAGGAGCTTCGCTGGCTCACCTACCTGCTGACCGACCTTGGAGAGTCGCCTCGTTCTCCTCCAGTCCTGTACGTAGACAACAAGCCCATGCTGGCCTTGTGTCGAGAGCAGAGACTAGAGCACAGAACAAAGCACATTGCTCTTCGCTACTTCCTTGCTCGTGAGCTACAGCAGCGTGGTCAGTTGTGGCTTGCATACGTGGCCTCTGAGGCCAACACTGCTGATGTCTTCACCAAGGCACTTGCGCCTTGTGATCATCAGCGCTTCTACACGCAGCTGGGTCTTGTGCCTGTCTTGCCTCACTTGCTCACCTCTTGACCTTGCTTGTACTGTTGCATATATATACACTTGCTCTTGCTTGTCTAGTCCTTTACATATATGTACTCCTGTATGTGAACTGTCGTTGTGGCCTTGAACTTGTGCTCAGAATGTGTGGTGACTTTGTGATCCACCCTGAGCTTGCTTTGCTTTGCTTTGCTTGACTGGTCTTGTGACCCCTTGTTCTCTCCCACTTTGCCTATGGGGGTGTGTCAGAACATATAGCTTGTGCTTATTGTGTAGGCTATAGTGGGGTAGCCCATAAGGGGTACAACCCAATTAGGGTTAGTACTTGTACTCAGTTTATTCATAGTTTATCCTGTTCTCGTTTCAATCTTCTCACGAAGAACAGATGCTTTCTTGACCAATTTTCCGGGTTGCTGAAATCCAAGGGGGACACGATCTTATCGTTGTTGTAGTGGAGCGGCACAAGGTCGAAAATGAAATGTATCCACATGAACACTGCTCTGAAGCTGCACTGCCAGAAGTCCATGTGTCGAGTCAGGTACAGGTGGCCGAGCTTGTTGTCTTTGATGGTCTTCGAGTTGCGATAGGCGACCACGAGAACGTGGATCGACGATTCCCCCTTGCTGTTCGTGATGGGCGGAAGGACGTGAGTGAACATATTGCAGTAGCGGATCTTGCGGATGCTTATCCCCCTGCCCAGCATGTGATGCACCATCAGGATCATCACCCTCACGGCCAAGGCCCTCCACAGCGACTGACTGGGGTAACTCATCGGCTCCCGAAAGTACTCCTTGGCCCAGTACGGCAGGATGTCTGAAACGAGGATGCGGAACTGTTCCTGCGTGTAAACATCGTCGAGCGAGCCCCGGTGTGGATCGACGCACTGCCTGCATTGAGTGGGCAGATACAGCGAGTACTTGGGTGAGAATTTGAGTGAAAAGTTTTAGAGTCCGGTGTATGGCAGCCTACTTACTCGAACTGAAAGTCGTGCAGCTGCCGCAGCTTGACCGCAAGAAGCTGCCGGGCCTCGGTGATGTCGTCCAAGAGTTTCGTTAGTGGCTCGTCGAAGAGTATGGCCTCTACTCTGCAGAAGCACATCAGTGCAGTAAGGCGCGCCAGCATCATCGGAGGGGTGCTTTTTTTCGCCTTCCTTCCAGCGACTCTGGTCCGGCCTGTATCCAACGATGCCGCCTGTTGGCCGGTTTCAGTCGACATGTATTCGATGTACGCGCGCAAGCGCCATTTCGTTATTTTCGGCCCATGCAGGTGCTCCTCGTTACGCAGCGCCTCCCTCCATCTCGGCCCCATATCGTCGCCGATCTCCCTACCGATCTCGTCCTCGTAGATCACCTGCTCCTCTTTAGGCACTCCGTTGCTTCTCTCGGGTGCCAGAATTTTACAGGCCCAAGCTTTGTAGTGCATGCTTCCAGAGACATAGTTCGGCCGTGTGGAATCCTGGTCAACTCCCAGCAGCGGAACCTCACATCGGAGAATCCTGCTTTTAAGTGTTCCGGTCGCCAAGTACGAATTGTCTGCGCCCGGTTGGTCGCCGAGAATGTGCGCGGCATCCTCCTCTGATATATTTGCCGCAGCAGGCCGCAGAGGGTCCGGCGGTTCGACATCGTCCGCCTCCCGCTATTCTCCCGTCCGAACATCCTCATCGTCCGTCGCTTCAGGGACGTTCCTGGCTAAGTCCTCTCTGCTTGGTCTCGTCGAAGTGCGCCTAGGAGCGGCGGGGGCGGCTCGAGAAGCGGATGTGCCGGCTGGGGGTGGTTGGCGAACCTCAGGCGGAACAGCCCTCGCTCTCCTACGTCGCCCACCTGTCGAGGTCGGTGCACCAGCCGAAGGTTCCGTCGAGAGGTGGGTTGTCGACGATGATGCACGGTGAGCTGGAGCCTCGTGTGTAAAGGGGGCATTTGTTGTCGAGATGGGTTCTACGACAACAGGTATGGATTGACCTGTCGAAGGGAATTCGGTCTGTGCACCACCCACTTTAACAGTGACCGGAATACCCGTCGAACGCTGGTCCGTAACAACCGGCTGTATTACTACCGGTGTGGCTCGCGACGTCGAGGTGGGCGCTGCCACTTCCGGCATGGTACGCGTCGTCGAAGGGGGCGCGGAAGAAACCGGCCTGGCTCACGACGACGAAGGGGGTGGTGTCGAGATGGACTCCAATTCGACAGGTATCCGTCCTACGTCCGCCTGCCGGGAAGGCGCTGTCGTCGACGGATCGGTCTCCATCAGTGCCCACCGAAAGCTACGATTTCTCCCTAAATCCTGGCCTGCTGAGAAAACTGTGGTGCTTCTACTATGAATTCAGGTTTATACAGCGACCTTGGGCTGATGTTGCTCCCCGTGGAGACTGAGACATTTGACGTGGCAATCAGCAGTTGACGTGAACGTTTGACTGCGACAGACGTAACCCGTCGCCCATCCGACAGCGACAGTTCGCTCGACCGACGAGGCGACAGGTCGGCTGCAGTTGACGTCTCCGTCGATTGCGACCGTCGGCCGGTTGCGAAACAGGTTTCGCAACCATCTACCGTCAGCGCCACCGTGTAGGCGATTCCCTGGCGACTTGCCACCGGGTGTAACCAGTGTTGTCGGGGGTGCACGGTGCTCGACGGCGATAGGCCAATGTCTGTCGAGCACTGTTCTACAAATGTCCCCAAAATTGCAACAGTGCGGCTGACATATATATTGGCATAAGAATACGACATTGAACCCGCGGGTTTCGGAGGGTTTTTTGGCCTGGTCAGCGGGGAATTTCTGGGGGCCCGGAGGGATTCCGCGAGTTTTTCGTTTTGCCTCAATTCCCTTTGTGCCAGGGCGGGCGGGGCGGTATGTGATGACGTCACCCGTGTGTATATAATTGGGTTTCATTACGAATCTGTTTTTGAATTTGACCCAGGGTTGGGTGTTCCAATGTCCCAATCGTCAGCAGTTACTGTATTGTGCGTTGCTGTTTGTTATTCCCAGCTGTACCTTCTCGTTTTTTTCCTGCCCAACCCACTTCCTGCTCGTCCCCCCTTCACCTCTCTCCTCCCCAACAGCAGCTCTCCCAACACCTACCTCTCCCAACAGCAGCTCGCTATCCCATCTCACCACTCCCACGCTTTTCCTCTCCCACCATGCTTCTCGCTTTTCATAACGGGACATGATAGCTTGGCTTCGACTTACACCCTTCCTTTCCACTTCTCCCGATCGTTTCTATACTTTCCGCTCCCAAACTAGTCGTAATTCTGACACTTTAGTTCCCTTACTGAGCGTTCATTGCCGATCTCCTTGCTAAAGCAGCAGCATTACGGGCACCAGCAATACAATATCGACCTTCAACTTATCGACCGAATGGACGAATCGCGCGCATCCTACTCGAAATTTCCAGAGCCCGAATGCCCGATTGGCCCGGCAACGTTGACGGAATCGTCGCACACGTACTGTGCGACGAGCCGAGCGATTCATAGGCGAAGGAGATTGGGTGGCAGCAGCAGCTCTTAACGAAGGCAGGCTTCATCATCAGCGTGAGAACCGTTGTATTGGACGTTTCTCACATGACCCGATCCCCGCTTTCCAATTCGGCTGTAGCCGCCGGCGAATTATGTGTGGTTACCAGCGTTGTTACCCTCCGCCATATTTCACCCAATCCCCGCGTACTATTTCTCATGTGTCAGGCGAATCGCCCGTGGTTACCAGTGCTGCTCTCCTCCTCCTCTCGTCACTCAAAACGAGCGGCGGCGATCTGCGGGCGATATTGTGACTAAAACAAGCGGCCGCGGTTCCGCATCTCCTCTCCCCGCCAGCCGATGGAGCGCATCTCCACCTACCCCAGTCGCCACCTCGTCTGCCCAGCCCACCAATCCTGGTGTTGCACCCACCAAACCTGATGCTGTGACCACCAATCCTGTTGCTTCGACGTGCGCGCTACTCTCATTGGTACGTACGTGTGTTGGGAGTTGATTGCTTAGGCGCATGTATGTGCCGGGCGTGGTGAAGGGACTCGAGGAGTGCATGGGCAGCGGCATGCTGGCCGGCTTCCCTGTCGTCGATGTGCGCGCCACCCTCATTGGTACGTACGTGTGTTGGGAGTTGATTGCTTAGGCGCATGTATGTGCCGGGCGTGGTGAAGGGACTCGAGGAGTGCATGGGCAGCGGCGTGCTGGCCGGCTTCCCTGTCGTCGATGTGCGCGCCACCCTCATTGGTACGTACGTGTGTTGGGAGTTGATTGCTTAGGCGCATGTATGTGCCGGGCGTGGTGAAGGGACTCGAGGAGTGCATGGGCAGCGGCGTGCTGGCCGGCTTCCCTGTCGTTGATGTGCGCGCCACCCTCATTGGTACGTACTACCATGAGGTGGTGACCCTCATTGGTACGTACTACCATGAGGTGGTGACCCTCATGAACTTTTTGGGGTTAATTCTCCAGCTTCCCTCCCGTTTCCCTCCACACCATTCCCTGCCCCCACCTGCCCCAAACTGCTCCAAGCTGCCCCGAACTGCCCCAAGCTAGCCCCATCGATCTGCCCACCCATCACCCACCCCTCCCTCAACCTCCACTTTCTCAGCACCCTCATTTCTCTCACATCCCTCCACGTTTTCCGGTTACCGTTATCCCTCCTCCTTCAATCCAATTTCTTCTTGCACACTCGCCCCTCCTCCTTGTACCTTCACCAGAGGGTTCCTACCACGAGCTAGATTCGAGCGTGCTGGCGTTTCAGCTGGCAGCATGCGGCGCACTCAAGCAGGGCATGGGCGCAATCAGATATCTACACCCTCCCACACCCGCTCCTCCCCATCCCTTCACCTACCAGAGGGTTCCTACCACGAGCTCGATTCGAGCGTGCGTGCGTTCCAGCTGGCGGCACGTGGCGCGTTCAAGGAGGGCATGGGCTCAATTGAAACGCTAAGCCCTCCTTTCCCCCGTCCATGTCCCTCTCCCCCGCCCCCACTGCTACTTTTTACCAGAGGGCTCATACCACGAGGTGGACTCGAGTGTGCTGGCGTTCCAGCTGGCGGCACGCGGCGCGTTCAAGTCAAGGAGGGCATGGGCAAGGCGTCGCCGCGGCTGGTGGAGCCGGTGATGAAGGTGGAGGTGGTCACGCCCGAGGACCACATGGGTGACGTCATCGGTGACCTCAACTCGCGCCGTGGGCAGATCAACAGCTTTGGAGACAAGCCTGGTGGCATGAAGGTGAGCAGAAGGGAAGAGAGGAAGTGGGGGAGACGGGACAGGGTGGGGGAGGGAAGGAGACAATGTGGGAAGTAGAGGAGAGGGATGGGTGAGAGAGGAGGGCTTAGGGTCAGTCTGAGCAGCTGCTGTGGCTGCTGGAGCCGGTGATGAAGGTGGAGGTGGTGACGCCCGAGGACCACATGGGTGACCTCAACTCCCGCCGTGGGCAGATCAACAGCTTCGGGGGCAAGCCTGGTGGCATGAAGGTGAGATGGGGAAAGATTTTGGTTAAGGATAGGGGAGGGAACAGGGAACGGAGAGAAGAGGAGAGGGGAAAGTGAGTAACTTACAACCGGGCAGGCGGAGGAGAATTGCATGGACGAGTGCAGCAAGGTTGGGTGTTGAAAGGTGGGGCAGAGGGGTTTGCGAGCAACTTGGTCATTGATGCCCCGGGCCATCACTCCCAGGTGTTCCAGTGGTGAATTGTGCCTGCTCTCACTCCCCAGTCCTCCAGTGTACACCCATGCTAGCTTTTGAGGTGCACTGGTGGTGGCACTGCCAGAGTGGTTCAATGTGTCGCCTTCCTCACACCCCTGCTTATTCATCCAATGTTTCTCCACTTCGCTTCCCTCTTCTCTCCCCCCTCCCATCAGGTGGTGGATGCGCTGGTGCCGCTATCAGAGATGTTCAACTACGTGTCGAACCTGCGCGGCATGACCAAGGGGCGAGCCAACTACACGATGCAGCTCGCACAGTTTGACATCGTGCCCACCAACATCCAGAACCAAATCACCGCCAAGGCTCAGGGCACTGCTGTCTAACTCCATTGTTGAGTGCTTGGGATGAGAACTGATGTACTAGCACTGCCAGTACCGTACCTTGTTTGCTTAGCATTGTTATTTTTAGGTTTCCCTTTTTTATGCAAAACCCTTCCTGTTCTTTGGATGGTGTGAACTCGCAAGGTTGTTGTGCTGCCTGCATACAGAAGCTGTAAGATCCGCAAACTGGTGAACCGTATCCTACTGAACTGGTACCGCATGACGTACCATATCATACCATATAATGACTGGTATATGTTGGCACTGGTGCGGTGGTGCTCATAACATACCATGAGCAGCCCACTACCCAGCACATGCGTTAGGGCGTACCGTATTCCTATCCTCCTATCAAGAAAACCTCCTATCAAGCTCTCACTGGAAAATTCCCTAAACCCGAAATCTCTCGCTACTTTTACCGTAATACCCCGGATAGAAGCGCACCTGCGCTTATAATAAAACATTGTTTTTTGGGGGGGTGCGCTTATAATTGAGTCAGATTTATAAGCGCATGCGCTTGTATAAAGGGAAAAATGAAAATCAATTTTGAACACACCATTGTGAAGCTCTCAATAAGGCGAATTCAACCGACCATGCACCAAGTGGGATCGTGCATGGTTTTCAGGCAGAAACCGCAGCGGTTCGGTTTCCCACCGCACAATTTTGTCTGGAAACATCGAATGTGACAGCCATGACGAGGATGTTGTCGTGCGGCCCAATCAGAGTCGCATGCGCTGCGTGGCATGTGCATTCGGGCAGAACCATCTCGAAGGTTCGGCAAGATTCCCTGCCAGCGCAGCGTAGATGCTGCCACGCAGGCGCCTCTACGGGAGTGGGCGGGGGTTTCCTGCCTGTCATCGACGAGGAACCCAAGCCGCCACGCAGCAGGGGTCCCCGTCGTTGCCCATTTCTTCACCCTCGTCTCTAATTTTTTCATTCAGTTTCCTGTCTAGCCCGCCTGGCAGGCGAAGCCATGGCGGAATTTAGTGGGACTCACATCCTCTTCAAGAAGAAACCACGGCGCACATGGCGACTTACCGAGGACGGGTGGTATACCCGTGAGCCACCAGCGCCTCCAGTGCCACCGGATCCCCCTGCACCCCCTGCTCCTCCTGCTCCCCCTGCACCCCCTGCTCCACCCGCTCCTCCCGCACCTCCCGCTCCTCCGAATCCGCCTGCTTTTGCTACGGCAGGTGCTCACCAACGGCCCGTGCTCCAACTGTATTTACCAGCCACGTTCGACGAATGGTTGGCTGAAGCGGACACACCCAAGGCCCCCGATGCACGCATCCAAGCTCCAGCGACTGCACCACGGTGGGGACAACCAGAAGTCTGCGCGTGGGATGAGTCGGCTGTGGGCGCCGACGATGATGACAGCGGCGCCGGCGAAGCTGGAGGCGACGGTGAAGCTGGTGGCGACGGTGCAGCGGGCGACGAGGAAGACGTGTTCCCCGACCGTGACGAGGACGAGGACGATGTGGAGTCCTGGTGGCGCGACGCACCACGCGCGACGATGCCGGTACCGACGTATCCGCCCCTTAACAAAAAACGCCCCCACCCGTCTACCGAGAATCGAGATGCCCGCCCCCCCTCCCCCAGGCACAAGCTGAATCAACATAAGCGGCAGTGCTACACCGCCCAGGAGAAGTTGAGGTGGCTCGTGCGGCTCGAGCTTGCGGCTTCGGTGAGCGAAGTGGCGCGGGAGTCAGGCATACACCGAAAATGTCTGACAGAATGGAAAGCCCAAGCGGAGGCGCTCAAGGCTGCACACGGAGCACGGATGCGACTTCACGGGCGCGGGAGGTCGTCTTGGTACCGCCCCATGGAGTTAAAGGTGTACGCGCAACTCCTCGACTGGCGACGCCGCGGAGTTGCGGTTTCGGTCGGCCGGCTGCAAGAGTGGTCCAAAGAAGTGATGAAGGTTCTATACCCGGACGTCAAGTGGAAAGGCAGTCAGCGGTGGACGGAGCGGTTCCGCAGGCGGTGGAACCTCAGCGTGCGCATGAAAACAAAGGTGGCGCAGAAAACACAGGAGCGTAAGTGGGTCGTTTACTGCTGATTTTGGTTTATCCCGATTACGCTTAGTTTTTTTTTCGCATGTCTCCTGTGCGTCATACTAATTTGGTTTACTATATGTACTTTTCTCCCTGTTCCGCAGACGTGGCTGAGCAGTGCAAGGATTTTTGGCAGTACGTACGTGACGCCCGGAACGAATACGACATTGACAACCGCTACATCATCAACGCCGACCAGACACCGCTGTGGTTGGAGATGCCGGCGACGACCACCGTGGAGCAGACGGGCGTGAGGTCGGTGCCCATCCGCAGCGGTGGGTACTAGAAGGAGAGAGTGGCCGTCATGCTTGCGTGCACGGCGACAGGCGAGAAGCTGAAGCCGTGGGTGTTTTTCAAGCGCAAGACACTCCCCAAGGGTGACTTCCCGAACGGTAAGTGATCGTCGCGCGTGTTTATTCCCGTTACTACCTGAGTCGTCAACCGTTCTTTTTCGTTGCGTGCAGATGTTGTGGTCGGCTGCCAAGCGAACGGGTGGATGGAGGCCGCAGGCGTCATCGAGTGGCTCAACACGGGCGTGGTGCCGTTCCTGAAGCCGAAATTCGGCCTGCAGAGTCGTAGCGCCATGCTGGTGCTCGAATCGTATCGCGGTCACCTGACACCAGAAGTCAAGGCGAGATTCGCGACGCTCAACATTGTGCCTGCTATCATTCCAGCGGGTTGCACGGCAGACCTGCAGCCCCTCGATGTGTCGATCAACAAGAGCTTCAAAGCAAGCATTCGTCAGCAGTACCAGAATTGGTTTGAGGAGGACGGCATGAACATCCTGACCCCGGCAGGTGAGTGACGGCATGTGCTCCCGTCTGCAAATCTTGAGCTTGAATGCATGTTTACTTGTCTCATGTTTTCCCCGCCCCACTCCGTGTGATGCAGGGAACATCAAGAAACCACCTCCGGAGGTGGTGCTCAAGTGGATTTTACGGGCCTGGAAGGCGGTGCCCGCCGACCTCATCAAGAAAGCCTTCCTCACTTGCGGCATCAGCAACGCCCTTGATGGGAGCGAAGACAAACTGGTGCTGGCGCACCGAAGGTGCCAGTTGTCCCATGAGGTGGAGGTGGACGACGACATCTAGGCAGATGGGTTCTGGGGCAACAACTCCACGGAGCCTAAGTCGGACGAGGAGGAAGAATAGGCAGTAGGGTAGACTAGGCAGGTTGAAAGGTGTGTAGTGCAGGACAGCAGAGACCACCCTTATATGTGATTGTCAAACTTAATGGAAAGTTTAAAACATGTAGGCTAGGTAGGTAAAAAAAATGATATATATATATATATATACATATCTATTTCTAACTAAAACGGTGCGCTTATAATAAGTCAAGATTTGTAGAGGGGTGCGCTTATAATTGAGGATCGGCCATAAGCGCATTGCTCCAGATACAAGCGCATGCGCTTAACATAGGCCTGCGCTTCTATCCGGGGCCATACGGTACCAGGCAAAAGGTACAATCTTGATACTGTATAGTTCCGGCTAGAAGACCCGGGGGACTCTCTACAAATGCTGGACATTGTGCTTGGGTGGACATTATGGCGGCAGCAATTTTTTAAGACCCGGGGTAACCTATTTGTCAATTATCTATCTGATATTTAGGGTGTACGACTCAATTTGGGGTGGGGGGGTCTTATATTCGTAACGAATTCGCAAAAAATTCACGCGTGCGGCGCGTCAGATCTGTGTCAGAATTCGAGTCTGACACAAAAAGCGTGTCAGAATTCGAACTTACACCAGTAAAAGCTGACGCACAATATCAATTACAACTACTGTATACAGAAAAGGGGGGTCTTATGATGATTAGAGGCCAAAGGGGGGTCCTCACAAAATCGGCCACAATAAGAGTCCCCCTACCCATTCAAGAGTCCTGGGGGACCTTCTTACCGGCGGGTCTTCTAGCCGGAACTATACGGTAGGAGGTTTCTTGATAGGAGGCCGTAGGAATACGCCCTTAGTACATTGCCAGCTCTGAACCTGCAATGGGTGGGCTGGGCTGAGAGAGGCTCGTGGGCCATATGAAATGTCTAGAACGGGTCGAGGAGCTGCACTCCACACCACACAGGCACTACACATGAACAGGAAAGCTTGGCAGTAGCTTGCCAGCATATCTTCTCATCGAGTCCACTAATACGTTATTATCATGTGCTTTTACGGTAATAAGAAACCCCCTCAATGATGGCCAATCATCATGATACAGTACATTAAAGGCCAACTCGAAGCATTGCGTTATTCTTATAGATGCTACGAGGCTCAACATAGCCATCACGATCCAGCAACTGCCTGCACCCCTTAACGCCCAGGTACCGCAGCATCTTCAACTCAGCAATATCCCGAGGTAGCTCCCTCAACCGCCAACACCCATCCAAGATAAGCCGCCTCAGTCCAGCCAGCCGCACAAAGTGGGGGAGGAAGCGAGGTGATGAGAGAGGATGCAAGATTTGGACGTGGACGTGGACGTGGTGGACGTGGACGTGGACGTGGACGCAGACGTGGACGTGGACGTGGACCTGGACGTGGATGGACGTGGACGTGGACCTGGACGTAGTGGACGTGGACGCGGTGGCGGACGCGGACGTGGTCGCGGACGCGGACGCGCTCGCGGACGCGGTCGTGGACGCGGACGCGGTCGCGGGTCACGGACGCGGACGCGGACGTGGACGTGGACGCGGTCGTGGACGTGGACGTGGTGGACGTGGACGTGGACGTGGTCGTGGACGTGGACGTGGACGTGGACGTGGTGGTGGACGTGGACGTGGTTGTGGACGTGGACGCGGGCACACAAGGCAGGTGAGAGAAGCAGGGAGCCGTTTCAACCCCTTGCAGTCTCTTAGACTCAGCTTGCGCAGCCTGGTCAAGGCGCCAATGCCCTCCGGAATGTGAGTGAGCATGCACTCATGAACCTCCAACAACGTCAGCTGCTGAAGCTGCGTGATGCTCTCTGGCAACTCAGACAACTCCTGAGCATCGTGTATCAGCAGCACCCTCAGCTGGTGTAAGCTCGAGCCGATACTCTCTGGAAGACTAGAAATCTTGGCAGCATGATAGATCGCAAAGGTGCGCAGGTGGGGAAGGCACGCCAGCGGGAATGGAGGCTCGGTTGCAGAGTTTTCTAACACCAGCTCCAAATCCCTCAGAAGCGGCAGGCTCTTGCTGAAATCCAGTGGTTGGTCGATATGAACCCGAGACAACTTCAGGTTTCTCAGATTTGGCAGCATCGGGATTGTCAGCAGAGGGGCAGTGTCGTCCCTGCTCGCTAGACTTAGCTGCTCAAGAACGACGGCGGAAATTGGACGGATTCAGGCTGCAACAGGCATTCGACAATCTCCAGGTGTTTGAGCCTCGTGAGTCGGTCCAGAAGCATCGGAGGCCAGGAGAGCCATCGACACGAACGAACGGTCAGGGTTTTGAGACATTTCAGGGCTGAAAGTGATGCGGGCAGGTCGCGTAATCGATTGCATGAGGCAATGTGGAGCTGCTTTAAGCTGCTGAGATTCCCCATGCTCTCCGGAAGGATCTCAATCTCGGACTGATTCAGCTCAAGCCTGGTTAGCGATTTCAGCTGGGTGAACGAGGGTGGGAGTGGCTGTTTCTGAGAGTTGCCGTCCAGCAGAAGAGTATGCAGTTGCAGCAGCGCGCAAATTGTCAGACTTTATATTATTTATATTTGTAACTGCGTGTAGCTGTAGTTAGTGTAGTTATTGCAAATTTTGTTAGGTGGTGCACCCTTTTGTTTCCTATGCTATATGTTCCTTGAACCTATAGTGAAACCCACTTTTCACCTTCACAACTTTCTCGACTCTCCCCCCCTTGGGCCCAACTCACTCGATACCTAAGTTGGGCCTAGGCTCCTAAGCCTAGGCCCTTACGTTCTAATTTCTTTAACATGGTTATCAGAGCAGTTTGGTCCTGGCCTGTGGGCCCGACCAAAGCTTCCGCTGCTGAATTTCTGGTCGCGCGCCTCGGGCGCGTGACGTCTTTTTTTTCTACCCGTCGCGGACCCGCCCCTGGCGCCCGCGACGGCGCTCTGAGCCGTCGCGGACCCGCCTCTGGCGCCTGCGGCGGTGCCCTGAGCCGTCGCGGACCCGCCTCTGGCGCCTGCGGCGGTGCACTGAGCCGCCGCGGACCCGCCTCTGGCGCCTGCGGTGGTGCCCTGCGCCATCGCGGACCCGCCCCTGGCGCCCGCGGCGGTGCCCTTGAGCCGCCGCGGACCCGCCATTGGCGCCTGCGACGGTGCTTTCCGCCCCTGCACTCCCTGAAGCCGCCCCTGACACCACTGCACCGACACCTTTTCGCCGCTCTGCGGCTTTCTTCCTTCCCACCCCCCTCCTCCTTTGTCTCCCTGCAGCCGCGGGGAGGAGGGTCTGGGGGTGGAGGGTGTTGGAGTGTGGGTCGTACCCTTCCCTTCCCCTCCTCCTCCTTTTGTTCCCACTGCTGCAGCTGCCGCTGGGGGGGAGGGTGTGAGGGTGTGGGGGAGCAGGGGGAGAGGCGCCGGGGTGACGGGTGTGAGGCAACCAGCAGCCGTCCCTCCACCTCTCCTCTCTTCCCCCCCTCTCTACTGCTCCTGCAGCAGTGTGGGGGAGGGGAGGGAGGAGGGTGAGGTGATGGAGGGGGTGACCAGTTAGTGTCTGCCCGCCTGCAGTACCTGCTGTTGCTTGGTTATTATCTTGCTTGTGTTGCTTGTGTACCCCTGCAAGTTGTGTTCTGCACAAACTTCTGCTGCAGGCAGTTATGGGGGAGTGTCAGACTTTATATTATTTATATTTGTAACTGCTTGTAGCTGTAGTTAGTGTAGTTATTGCAAATTTTGTTAGGTGGTGCACCCTTTTGTTTCCTATGCTATATGTTCCTTGAACCTATAGTGAAACCCACTTTTCACCTTCACAACTTTCTCGACTCTCCCCCCCTTGGGCCCAACTCACTCGATACCTAAGTTGGGCCTAGGCTCCTAAGCCTAGGCCCTTACGTTCTAATTTCTTTAACACAAATGTCTTTAGGAAGGATTAGCTGCTGCAACCTCACGAGGCAGAGAGTGGTGAGGGATGTGAGGCTGCCGAAGCCTGCTGGCAGCTGCTGAAACCCCTCGTAGTCGAGTATGAACAGGGTCTCTAGGGATGTGAGTAGGCTGAAAGAATCTGATAAGCTCGTGAGTGCGAGATTTTGTAGAACCAATGTTCTGAGGGCAGGAAGCTGACCGAAATTCTCGGGCAGGGTGGAGAGACTGCGGCAAATTAAAATCGTCAAGCTTGTTAAGGAACTCGAAAGAACCAGCTGCTGCGATGAGTCAGAAAGATTCTCGAGTGGCAGAAACTCCAGCACCAAAGTCTTGAGTGCTGCCAGCCGTCCAAAATTCGCAGGTAGGCTCGAGAACTAGGAACAGGAAGAAATCGTCAGGCTCTCCAAAGCGCTAAGATAGGTGAACTTGTCGGGCAGATGTGAAAAGTTTTTGCAGCTGCTAATACTCAGCTCGCGAAGGCACGGGAGAAGCTCCGCGATGTTTTCAGGAAGCTGCTCGAGCTGGTCGGAGTTGGTAATCAGCAGCCGCTCAAGACGGCTACACGGTATTTCTGACGAAATCGTTAGGCAAGATTCCAAGGTCAGCAGCGGCAGTTTTGAGAGGGTGAGAGCAGCAGCGGGCTGATCGCGGGGAGGGATATCGATTCTATCTGAGATCGAAAGACTGGTGATGCTCGGAAGGCGACGCAGACCCGCCAATCGCTTCGAGTTGACATAATACGAGGCGATTTGGAGAGCTCTCAGAGAGGAAAGGCTTGCGAGATGAGGCGATTCGAGCTGTAAGCCTCTGTATGCTTGCACCTCTGTAAGCCTCTGTGTGCTTGCACCTCTGTAAGCCTCTGTGTGCCTGCACCTCTGTAAGCCTCTGTGTGCTTGCACCTCTGTAAGCCTCTGTGTGCTTGCACCTCTGTAAGCCTCTGTGTGCTTGCACCTCTGTAAGCCTCTGTGTGCTTGCACCTCTGTAAGCCTCTGTGTGCTTGCACCTCTGTAAGCCTCTGTGTGCTTGCACCTCTGTAAGCCTCTGTGTGCTTGCACCTCTGTAAGCCTCTGTGTGCTTGCACCTCTGTAAGCCTCTGTGTGCTTGCACCTCTGTAAGCCTCTGTGTGCTTGCACCTCTGTAAGCCTCTGTGTGCTTGCACCTCTGTAAGCCTCTGTGTGCTTGCACCTCTGTAAGCCTCTGTGTGCTTGCACCTCTGTAAGCCTCTGTGTGCTTGCACCTCTGTAAGCCTCTGTGTGCTTGCACCTCTGTAAGCCTCTGTGTGCTTGCACCTCTGTAAGCCTCTGTGTGCTTGCACCTCTGTAAGCCTCTGTGTGCTTGCACCTCTGTAAGCCTCTGTGTGCTTGCACCTCTGTAAGCCTCTGTGTGCTTGCACCTCTGTAAGCCTCTGTGTGCTTGCACCTCTGTAAGCCTCTGTGCGCTTGCACCTCTGTAAGCCTCTGTGCGCTTGCACCTCTGTAAGCCTCTGTGCGCTTGCACCTCTGTAAGCCTCTGTGCGCTTGCACCTCTGTAAGCCTCTGTGTCCTTGCTCTTCCTCCGCATTCGTTACTCCCCAAGCCCATCCCAAACACCTTGAGTTCAGCCCACCCTGACCTATATAGGTACTCCAGATATTGGCTAAAAAATCGACTCATTACACGGGGCTTGTCACGCTACAATCTTGCTTTGTACTGCATGTACTTTGCTGTACCGTGCTGTACCGTGCTGTACCGTGTTGTACCGTGTTGTATCGTGCTGACAGGAACAATAATTCAAAGCCCTACTGGCCATCCTGACTACCAGCCAGACAGAATCAAGAATCCGCCAAGCGGCAAGTGGCACCGTACACGGGGCGCTTCTTCCACATCAGCACAGCACTTGCCATTTTTGAGGCGCCTCAAAAGTCGTTTCATTACCCGCACTTTTTTTTCTCTTTTTTTTTAGGCGCCTCAAAAGTCGTCTCATTACCCGCAATTTTTTTTTTTTAGGCGGCTCAAAAGGCAAGTGGCACCATACACGGGGTGCTTGTTCCACATCAGCATAGCAGTTGCCATTGGGTTTGTGCTTGTTTGTGCTGTGGGCCAATGCACCCACCCACAAGCGTCAAGGCCTCACTGGCCTTAACGCATCCCGACTTCTATCACATGCAACTCAACTCCAGTCCCACTGCCCCATCTCCATCACAACCTTAGTGAACCTTAATCACATCCCACTGCACTCCCACGTCATAATGCTCCTCCTGCTTTACCTGCATCCGCTCCTCCCAGCCTCCCGCCCTCTCCTCATCCATCCTGCAGGCACCAACTTCCCCTTTGAGCCGCCAGGCACTACCATCGTGGGGGTGATTCTGTCTGATCTCCAGGCGCCTAAAAACCTGCTGCTGCTCTTGCTCTTTCTTCCACCGCTGTTGCTGGCCTTCTCACTGCCACATCTTCTGAGGCGCCTCAGGAATCGACCCCCCACGCGCTACTTCTTTTCGAAGAGAGCCCTCGCTGCCCTGCAAGCTTCCATGGATGTGGAGATCACTTGCTAGTGCAGGCTGCCGTGTTGATGGTACTTTTGAAAATCTCAGAAGTACCCCCCACGCGCTGCTTTTTTTCAAAGAGAGCCTTCACTGCCCGGCAAGCTACCATGGGTGTGGAGATCACTTGCTAGTGCAGGACTGCCATACAGTTAATCCGTTCATGTTGATGGAACCATGTGCCATGCGGGAATCATTTTGTAGCAAGATGCGCCTTTAGATAATGCATTGCATTTGATTCCTTTGCAGCGTATGCATGATTGCTTTTTCATTCTGTTTCTGACAAAATAGAACTCAAATCAGAAACGATGAATGTGGGTACGGCGACGCTACCTTTGCTGCATTGTCAACGTCTCCGCTTTCAAAAATTTTCTTTTTTAAGAAAGTGTTTCATTTTCAAGATTTATCATTTACGTATGCATTCTACCTCCTAAGAAAACAAACCATGGTATCGAGCGACAAGCCAAGCAATCACTCAAACAAATAAGGTGTTGTGAAGGGCATTGCGATGCCATGCCAACCCTTGATTGCATAGTGCAAGAAAAACCCATGTAGCCGCAGTCTCTGTTCCCCAGTTTTCAGTCCTTTCTTGCATGGTCCCATCCTGTGTACACAAACTCCTTGGCAAACTCCTGCACCTTCCAGGCAGCAGCAGCGGCGGCCACAGCCAGCAGGGCAAGCGGCACACGAGCACGCAGGGAGGTGGAGGCGGCAGCAGCAGCAGCGGAGAGCAACGAGACGGCGGGCAGCAGCAGCTGGAGGCGCTGCACGTTGGCGAAGGTGGCGGAGCAGGATGTGCAGTGGGCGGTGTGCGAGGCCATGCGCTCCAACACCACCTCCTTGGCGGCCGGCTGGGGGGGCAGAGACACACCTGAGAAGGCCGGTGGGTACTCCACGGCTCCACCTGGTGCACGTGGGAAGGAGGTTGTGCACAGGGGGAAGGAGGTTGTGGACAGGGGGAAGGAGGTTGTGGACAGGGGGAAGGAGGTTGTGGACAGGGGGAAGGAGGTTGTGGACAGGGGGAAGGAGGTTGTGGACAGGGGGAAGGAGGTTGTGGACAGGGGGAAGGAGGTTGTGGACAGGGGGAAGGAGGTTGTGGACAGGGGGAAGGAGGTTGTGGACAGGGGGAAGGAGGTTGTGGACAGGGGGAAGGAGGTTGTGGACAGGGGGAAGGAGGTTGTGGACAGGGGGGAGGAGGTTGTGGAGAGGGGGAAGGAGGTTATGGACAGGGGGAAGGAGGTTGTGGACAGGGGGAAGGAGGTTGTGGACAGGGGGGAGGAGGTTGTGGACAGGGGGAAGGAGGTTGTGGACAGGGGGGAGGAGGTTGTGGACAGGGGGAAGGAGGTTGTGGACAGGGGGGAGGAGGTTGTGGACAGGGGGAAGGAGGTTGTGGACAGGGGGGAGGAGGTTGTGGAAAGGGGGGAGGAGGTTGTGGACAGGGGGAAGGAGGTTGTGGACAGGGGGGAGGAGGTTGTGGACAGGGGGAAGGAGGTTGTGGACAGGGGGGAGGAGGTTGTGGACAGGGGGAAGGAGGTTGTGGACAGGGGGGAGGAGGTTGTGGACAGGGGGAAGGAGGTTGTGGACAGGGGGAAGGAGGTTGTGGACAGGGGGGAGGAGGTTGTGGACAGGGGGAAGGAGGTTGTGGACAGGGGGGAGTAGGTTGTGGACAGGGGGAAGGAGGTTGTGGACAGGGGGGAGTAGGTTGTGGACAGGGGGAAGGAGGTTGTGGACAGGGGGAAGGAGGTTGTGGACAGGGGGGAGGAGGTTGTGGACAGGGGGAAGGAGGTTGTGGACAGGGGGGAGTAGGTTGTGGACAGGGGGAAGGAGGTTGTGGACAGGGGGAAGGAGGTTGTGGACAGGGGGAAGGAGGTTGTGGACAGGGGGAAGGAGGTTGTGGACAGATGAATGACATGCACAGGTCAGGTTGATGGTGGACAGAAGCACTAACAGGTGAGGCAAGACGGGATGGCAGACGGCACAACAAGGCGGGATGGCACACAGCAAGGCGGGATGGCACACAGCAAGGCGGGATGGCACACAGCAAGGCGGGATGGCACACAGCAAGGCGGGATGGCACACAGCAAGGCGGGATGGCACACAGCAAGGCGGGATGGCACACAGCAAGGCGGGATGGCACACAGCAAGGCGGGATGGCACACAGCAAGGCGGGGATGGCACACGGCGTGACAAGGAGGGATGGCACGAGAGAGAGAGAAAAAAAGTTGTAGTTTGAAATATAAAGCTAGCCAAGTGGGCTAGTTGGCCCTCAAGAAAGCTCTGGTGTGTTGGTTGGTCATTCTCAGCCTCGCTAGCCTTGCGCTCTCGTTGGTGAACGAAAGCAATTGGCTATACTCGTTTCACCGAATCGACATCCATGACATCAGAAAGCACAGCCACATACTGTCTCCAAGCAAGCACAGCTGGCAAGAAATACCTGAAAAGGATCCTAGTTACTACACAACCACCTGGCTCCTCTCATGGAGCAACCACTCGAATATGAGACACACCTGCATATTTGGAGAGCCATTGCCGGAAGGCCACCACAGGGAGGTCAGCGTTGGTGGGCATGTAAAACGCCCTCCACGCGCTCCCCCTCACAACCCCTGCGCCCCCCGCTTCACTTCGCCCACCCTCCGCCGCACCTCCCCCCTGCCGTGCCTCGCCCTTGCTCGCCCGAGCCTCCTCCATCTGCTGCTCCCTCTCCTGCAGCACTCGCTCCTGGCAGTGCAGGAAGTAGGAATCGCCTGGTGGGCATGGCGTGGGACACACATGGCACCGCCGTGATGCGGCAAGAACCGGAAAGAACACCACAATCATAAGGCTCTCATCTGTGATCACTGATTCCGTCACCTGGTGCAAGCGGAGGTGCAGCACTCACCGTCGTATATCTGGTGCAGGCCGATGTGCCGCAGCCAGCGCGGCACGGAGGGCAGCTTCTTGCCGTCGCCGGGCCTGACCAGGTTCACCTGCACGACGATGCTGCTGCCCGGCGCGCTGGGCGTGATGTACAGCAGCAGCACCAAGCTCGTGTTTGCCCCTGCCTTCCTCTGCAGGAAGGGGAACTTGGGGGGCGGCGGGCTGGGGGGGAAGGGGAGAAGGGAGGGGGGAGATGGCTTTTGAGTGAGTCGACTCAAAAGCAGACCAGGTTCACCTGCACGACGATGCTGCTGTCCGGTGCGCTGGGCGTTATGCACAGCAGCAGCACCAAGCTCGTGTTCGCCGCTGCTGCCCCGGCCTTCCTCTGCAGGAAGGAGAACTTGGGGGGCGGCGGGCTGGCAGGAGAGGGGGGAAGGGAGTGGGAGGAGGGTGGAATGGGGAAAGCGAGGAGTAGAAGGGGAGGTGGAAAGTGACGGTGGGATAAAAGCGGGGGTGGACGGGGAGGAGAGATGTGGGGATGGGGGGTAGGGTGAAAAAGGTGGATGTCATGGTGTTGTGGTGGGGGCGGCACGTCATGGTTTTGTTGTGTTGTGCGGTACCTTACGGTGCTGTGGTAGAAGACCAGTTGGGGAGCCTGGAAGCGGAGGTAGGTGGGGAAGCCAAACACGTCGATGGGCCCCTCAAAGCCCTTCACGCCCTGATGGCGGGCAGTGCAGAGGCAGTAGACGGCAGGTGAGGGCAGTGCAGGCAGGTGAGAGCAGTGCAGGCAGGTGAGAGCAGTGCAGGCAGGTGAGGGCAGTGCAGGCAGGGCGAGCACAAGCACAAACAGTGAAGTGCAAATCTTGTATACGTATGTCTATGTGTGTGCAGCTCAAGTGCATGTGAGTGTGTATGCATCACTGCATGTGCACGCCTCTCTACATGTGCACGCCTCTCTGCATGTGCATGCCTCACTGCATGTGCAAGCCTCTCTTGAGTGTGCAAACGACATCCCCCCATCACACAGCAACCTCCCTGCCCACCGCCACGCCGCACCGATTGTGTCATGCCGATGTTGCTGATAGGGCCGCCCTTGTCGCGGGTGGTCATGCCGACGCCGTGGTGGGCGAAGGGGAAGTGGGAGAGGTCCACCACGTTCTCCACCAGAACCTCGTAGCCGTACGCCAGGCGCCGCGTGTAGTGCGGCAGCACCTCGTACTCCTCCCACTCCACCCCGTGCGGCAGCGGCAGCGGCGTCGCCTCCGCCTGCTGTGCCGAGTGCTCGTTTGGCCACACGAACAGCATCCCCTGGGAGGTGGCCGGGCGGGGGGGAGTGGGGGGAAGGGAGGGGGAGGGAGGGGGAGTAACGGGCGCGCAGCGGGGTGAGTGGGGGCGATTGGCTGTGTGGACTGTTGAGAAGCGACGGACGAGCCGATGCGCCCCTGTGGACAGTTGTCTCTCACCACTGCCCCTCCTCCCCTCGCCCCTAACCCACTTGCTCTGCGGTTACGCACAGGCAAGCCGAGCACCCGCCTGCTTTGCCCTTCACCTTGCCATCACACCACTCTCATGCCCTTCACCTTGCCATCACACCACTCTCATGCCCTTCACCTTGCCATCACACCACTCTCATGCCCTTCACCTTGCCATCACACCACTCTCATGCCCTTCACCTTGCCATCACACCACTCTCATGCCCTTCACCTTGCCATCACACCACTCTCATGCCCTTCACCTTGCCATCACACCACTCTCATGCCCTTCTCCTTGCCATCACACCACTCTCATGCCCTTCTCCTTGCTCGGACTACCCCAGCATGATGCCTTCAGGCTCCAGCTCTCACTGTTAGCTAGGCACAGTGGGTTATTGCGACCTGCCTTTCATGACCTGCGACCCACGGATGATAAGCTTCCCATTGTGAATGTAGCCCGTGTCATGTGGGGCACTCACGTGGAACTCCCTCACAGGGAAGGCAGTGGCACATGCGCGCGGGGAGCACACGGCGCGGGGGGGCTGGCCGGGGTGCTCCGGGGCGGCCTGGGGGATGAGCTCGCACGCGCCGCTGCCTGCGAACGCCCACCCGTGGTACGAACACGCCAGCCGCCCCTCCGCGTCTATGCGGCCCTGTGGCCGTGCCGATGGGAGGGGGCGGGGTGAGAGGAGGTGGGTGAGCCGGGAACAGGTGATGGGAAGGAATACATGCAATGGGCATCCGCTGCGCCTATAACACCTCCATTTTGACCCAGCGGGTAGCGGAGTACGCCCACCCGTGGTACGAACACGCCAGCCGCCCTGATGAGTCCATGCACCCCTGTGGCCGTTGGGCAGGTGGAGGGAGGGGGGGGGGGGGGGGGGTTGGGAAAGTGATAAGATTGAGGTGGGTGCGATGGGAACAGTTGTGGTGGGAACAGGTGCGGTGGGAAAAGGTGCGGTGGGAACAGGTGCAGTGGGAACAGGTGTGATGGGAACAGGTGCGATGGGAACAGGTGCGGTGGGAACAGGTGCGATGGGAATAGGTGCGGAGGGAACAGGTGCGGTGGTAACAGGTGCGGTGGGAACAGGTGCGGTGGGAACAGGTGCGGTGGGAACAGGTGCGGTGGGAACAGGTGTGATGGGAACAGGCGCGGTGGGAACAGGTGCGGTGGGAACAGGTGCGGTGGGAACAGGTGCAGCGGGAACAGGTGCAGCGGGAACAGGCGCGGTGGGAACAGGTGCGGTGGGAACAGGTGCGGTGGGAACAGGTGTGATGGGAACAGGTGCGGTGGGAACAGGTGCGGTGGGAACAGACGCGGTGGGAACAGGTACGGTGGGAACAGGTGTGATGGGAACAGTTGTGGTGGGAACAGGTGCGATGGGAACAGGTGCGATGGGAACAGGTGCGATGGGGTATGATGGGAACAGGTGTGATGGGAACAGGTGTGATGGGAACAGGTGCGATGGGAACAGGTGCGGTGGGAACAGGTGCGGTGGGAACAGGTGCGGTGGGAACAGGTGCGGTGGGAACAGGTGCGGTGGGAACAGGTGCGGTGGGAACAGGTGCGGTGGGAACAGGTGTGATGGGAACAGGCGCGGTGGGAACAGGTGCGGTGGGAACAGGTGCGGTGGGAACAGGTGTGATGGGAACAGGTGCGGTGGGAACAGGTGCGGTGGGAACAGACGCGGTGGGCACAGGTACGGTGGGAACAGGTGTGATGGGAACAGGTGCGATGGGAACAGGTGCGATGGGAACAGGTGCGATGGGGTATGATGGGAACAGGTGTGATGGGAACAGGTGTGATGGGAACAGGTGGGGTGGGAACAGGTGCGGTGGGAACAGGTGCGGTGGGAACAGGTGCGGTGGGAACAGGTGTGATGGGAACAGGTGGGCTAGGAACAGGTGCGGTGGGAACAGGTGCGGTGGGAACAGGTGCGGTGGGAACAGGTGCGGTGGGAACAGGCACGGTGGGAACAGGCGCGGTGGGAACAGGCGCGGTGGGAACAGGTGCGGTGGGAACAGGTCAGTGGGAGGCGCGGGCAGGGTTTACCTCGGAGAGCGCCACGAGGCGGTGGGGGCACTGGTCGAGGAAGCAGCGCCACGACCCCGCGGCGTCGCGCCAGAGCACGAGCGGGCGGCCCACGACTGTGATGGCGTGCGGGCGAGTCGCGTCCATGTCAGCCGTCACGCCCACGGCGTACCACGCGCGGCTCCACTCCACCGTCCCGCCCTCCTCCGCCCTCCCCTCCGCCGCTGACGCCGCTCTCAGCTGCGCCTCTGCATCGCCCGTTACAGTCACATTATCTCTGCTTTCGCTGGACGCCGACTCCGCCACGAGCGCCGCCCTGGCGACGCGGGACGGCGGGCGATGGGGGCGGCGGGCGGACACGGGCGGGCGCAAGCCGAGCTGCGGCAGGCGCAATCTGCTCGCGCCGAGTTGGTGGCGACGCGGCTGCAGCGGATGCAGCGCCGCGCGGAGGAGGAGGGGACGCGGCGCAAGGGAATCTGGACTGGACGCGGCGCGAGCAGACCGGCCCGAGGGACAACGACGCGCCGCCAGTGGCGCCGCAGACCCGACCGCGTCGCGCGGACGGACGCGACAGCCCAGCGCTGCCTCCATGGCGGGCGGCGGGATCCTCTACTCGGGGGCTCGTGTGGGGAAGGATGCGGATGCGCGCTGGACACAGCCGGCTCCGAACGGCTGACTGCTCGCACGCACACTGCTCTCTCGGTCTACTGCAGCTCTTTTCTGCGCGTCCCTGCAGCAGCCTGTGCGCGAAGCAGAACAAGCGAGCCTGGAGAAGCGCGGAAGTTTGTGAGTCACGACGACTGACTGGCTACCAGTGCGCCAGCTTCCGCCTGTTGGAGCGTCAAGTTTTGGATGAGGGGGTGTCCAGCTCCTACATTTACAGTTCTTCAATCCCTCAAGTCACACAAAAAGGGCGGACACGACCAGATTTTGTTCACGAGACGGCACGCCAGCTGCACGTACCTCGAGTCGTGTGACTCACGTTACTACATGCAGCGTGCGCGCCAACTAGGGTACAGCACCGCGTCCTGCCCACGACAGAGGTGACCGCTCTAATGGCTCGCACACTTTCGCCAGTACAGCACGACACTCGCCGAAACCACCTCCGATTTGGCAAACCACATTGCATGGCAACTCGCATGTGCGAAAATGCCAGACCTATTCTTCACGAGGGAACCGGTTACCTAGGTTTCCACGCGGACCTGGCACTGTTGAAGCTTGTGTGGGGGATATGTGTCCGCGCGCTGAGGTGGACCCGGCTCACAGTGCGTTCGTTTCTAGGTACGGTGATCTGGAGCCAAAAAAAAAAAGAGGCGACGAAATCGTCTTAGGGTTGCGGAGCAACTTAAAAGTGATAATATATATGAGTAACATCAAGTTCTAAATTTCAGAAAATGACTAATATTTTTAATCAGAACGTAGGTATATACATTCAATAGTTTATTTTTAATGGACACAAAGTATCTAAGTATAAGTACAGATACCGTATTCTCCCGGACATAACACCCTAGGGTATAGCTAAAAATACAGGGAAAAAATAGGGGGGGGGGGGGGGGGGGGGGTGTTGGGCTGAAAAATAGCCCTTAGGATCTTTGCAGAGGAGAACTCTTGGGTAGAAACTTGTAATAGCGGAAGCATTTTGATGAGGATTGTGAACCGACCTTGCACTGGTGTGTGAGAGCAAAGTAGATTAAATTAAACAAGCAAATACAAGGATTTATATAAGAGTACAGGGAATACGAATAGATAGATAGATAACTGTATTGCTGTTGCGGTTCGATATAGTGCGACTCGGGCAACTGCTCTGTAACGAGTCAGTTGTGTGTCCTTAACTGTCGCGCTGTAATTGTCGAGTCAAAGGTCAGCGACCTTTGACTTTCTCGTAACCTCCAGGCGGTTACCCTCAACTTCCGAGGTTGACTCGATGCTTCGATTGGGACTGCTTCGCTTGGTGCCTTGGATTTTGATACGACAGAAGTGTCAGAACATATAGCTTACTTATTTCTGTAGGCTATAGTGGGGTATCCCATAGGGGGTACAACCCAATTAGGGTTTCCTATTTGTACCCACTTCTTTTTCATAGTCATTCACTTCTCGTTCGTACTTTCTCATGGAATCAGAGCAGGTCCCTTCCTAGGGCCTGTTCCTAGGGCCCACCGAAGCGCGCCCCGAGGCGCGCATTTTTTTTAGCGACCCTCCGAGTCGCCCCTCCCGTCGTGCTCCCGCTTAGGCCCCTCGTCGGCCCCCCGCTTAGGCCCCTCGTCGGCCCCCCGCTTAGGCCCCTCGTCGGCCCTGCTTAGGCCCCTCGTCGGCCCCGCTTAGGCCCCTCGTCGGCCCCTGCTTAGGCCCCTCGTCGGCCCCGCGTACCCCTCGTCGGCCCCGCGTAGGCCCCGCGTACCCCTCGTCGGCCCCGCGTACCCCTCGTCGGCCCCGCGTAGGCCCCGCGTACCCCTCGTCGGCCCCGCGTACCCCTCGTCGGCCCCGCGTAGGCCCCGCGTACCCCTCGTCGGCCCCACGTAGGCCCCGCGTAGGCCCCGCGTACCCCTCGTCGGCCCCGCGTAGGCCCCGCGTACCCCTCGTCGACCCCGCGTACACCTCGTCGGCCCCGCGTACACCTCGTCGGCCCCGCGTACACCTCGTCGGCCCCGCGTACCCCTCGTCGACCCCGCGTACACCTCGTCGACCCCGCGTACACCTCGTCGGCCCCGCGTACACCACGTCGGCCCCGCGTACACCTCGTCGGCCCCGCGTACACCTCGTCGGCCCCGCGTACACCTCGTCGGCCCCGCGTAGGCCCCGCCCAGGCCCCGTCTCGGCCCCGTGTCGGCCCCGCGTAGGCTCCGTCGGCCCCGCTTAGGCCCCTCTTCGGCCCCGCGTCGGCCCCACCTACGCCCTGTCGGCCCCGCGCTGGCCCCGCTTAGGCCCGCCACCGGCCCCTGCTACAGCCCGCCGCGTCGGCCCCGCCTACAGCCCGCCGGCCCGCCTAGGCCCCACTTCGGCCCCTCGTCGGCCCCACTACAGCCCGCCGCCGGCCCTGCTACAGCCCGCCACCGGCCCTGCTACAGCCGCCACCGGCCCCTGCTACAGCCCGCCACCGGCCCTGCTACAGCCCGCCACCGGCCCTGCTACAGCCGCCGCCGGCCCTGCTGCAGCCCGCCACCGGCCCTGCTACAGCCCGCCACCGGCCCTGCTACAGCCCACCACCGGCCCTGCTGCAGCCCGCCGTACTGCACGTGAGCAGCCCCAGCAGCCCGCGCCGCCCGTCAGCCCCTACGCCACCCGAGCCGCGCGAGCCGCCCGAGCCGCCCGAGCCGCCCGAGCCGCCTGAGCCACGCGAGCCACCTGAGGAGCCGTGCTGCTGTCCCTGAGCTGTGTTCCTCTACTGCTGACCTACCCGACTCTTCCAGCCCGGTGAGACTTTCAGCTGCTGCCATGGCCACCCCCAATGTTCTTACTTTTGACGCTGAGGGGAGGGCCATTGACTTTGCCGTCTGGATTGAAGACCTGCAGCTGTACTTACTGTGTGATGCGATAGATGAGGTCTCTCTCTTTGACTTTGTCTCTGGAGCTGTCCCTGCCCCGCCTGCTGATGCTGACTCTGCCGTTCGCTCCAAGTGGGCGACCCGCGATGCTGCTGCACGTCTTGCTGTGCGTCGCCACCTCCCTTCCTCTGAGCGTGCCCACTTTAGTCAGTGCAAGACCGCTCAGGCCTTGTACGACGCTGTAGTTGCACGCTACTCCTCTCCTTCCTCCGCTACCCTTAGCCGCCTCATGCTACCGTTTCTCTTCCCTGACCTCGCTTCCTTTCCCACTGTCGCTGACCTCGTTACCCACCTCCGCACTAGTGACGCTCGCTACCGCGCTGCCCTTCCTGCTGAGTTCCGCGCCGCAAACCCTCCTCCCATGTATATCACTCTCTACTTTCTCGTCACCCGTCTTCCTGAGTCCCTTCGTGTCGTTAGGGACCAGTTTCTCGCTGTCTGTCCCACCACCCTCACTGTCGACCTCCTTGAGGAGTCCCTGCTAGCGGCTGAGAAGAGTATAGTCGCTGTAGGGGCCTCTAGGGGTGACCCTCGCACCCCCATCTTTGAGGGGTGTTCTCCTTCCCCCCTGCTGCCCTCTGTCGCCTCTGCTGCTACGGCCGACCTCGCTGGTTTTGAGTCGGTCGGTGCGGCGTCTGCCCCCAGCGGCAGACGCCGCTCTGGCAAGGGCAAGGGGGGCAAGGGAGCGGGTGGATCTAGAGGAGGCAGTGGCGGAGGAGGTGGGGGTGGCGGGGGGAGTGGGGGTGGCGGTGGAGGTGGTGGCGGGAGTGGGGGTACCGGTGGAGGAGGTGGAGGCGGAGGTGGCGGCGGAGGCGGCAGCGGAGGAGGCGGGGGCGAGGGTACCGGTGGGGGCGGTGGCGGTGGAGACGGGGGTGGCGGTGGAGGTGGGAGTGGCGGTGGAGGCGGGAGTGGCGGAGGCGGCGGGGGTCGGAGTGGCTCGTCCCAGCGGAGCAGCTCTGGGGGTGGTCAGCGCCAGCAGCAGCAGCAGCAGCAGCAGCGGTCTCGCACCGTCCCCGCCCCTCAGCAGCTCCGTGAGTGGTACTTGCAGCGTCAGCGTGGTGGTGCGTTTGGTCCCTGCCCCTACGTTCTTCGCTCCGGCGACCGTGCGGGGGAGAGGTGTGGAGGCACCCACACAGCGCGCCGCTGCTTTGGCCGCCTGACCGACGCCTGGCGTCAGCAGTTTCCGGAGGCCGCTGAGATCCCCCGCTGGGGGGAACTGTCTAGGGCTGGTGTAGCCATTTATGATCTTGACTTTGATGCTATTCTCTCTGCTATGTATGCTGTGACTGGTAGTGATGAGGATGACTGTTACCGGTGTTTCCCGCCCGACCCGGGCATTGGTACTGCCGCGTCAGGTACTAGTGAGGCTGCTGCTCTAGGTGCCAGTGCGTCTGTGCTCTCAGGTGCTGGTGAGTCTGCCCTCTCAGGTACTGTGTCGGCTTCGGCCTCTCACACCTTCACCCTTGACTCTGGAGCGTCTCGCTCCTTCTTTCGGGACCGCACCACTCTCACGCCACTGAGTCGGCCGGTTGCGGTGTCCCTGGCTGACCCCTCTGGGGGGCCTGTCCTGTCTCGCTTCTCCACTGTCCTCCCGTGTCCGGCGGCCCCCTCTGGCACCCTGACTGGTCTCTACCTCCCCTCGTTCTCGACGAACTTGGTGAGTGGTGCTGACCTCCAGGATGCGGGTGTCCACCAGTTCACCCCTGCTCGTCAGCGGGTGACTCACTGCACTGAGGCGGATACAGGTCGCCACCTGGCTACGTTCACACGTCGGCCAGGGTCGAGCCTGTACACACTGACCACTGCTTCTCCTCCAGGTACTACGTCTGGTAGGGTCCCTTCGTCTGGTCAGGTGTTTGCTGCAGCGTCCAGGTCCGGTCCTGAGTCTGCCCCCTGCTCGTGTCGTCGTCTGTCTCACGAGACCCTCCTCTGGCACCACCGCCTTGGCCACCCCTCTCTGCTTCGGCTCAGAGGCATGGCCTCGCGAGTCCTTGTGTCTGGTCTTCCCCGGTCCCTACCTCCCTTTCCTCCGGGCCCTGGCCCTGCCTG